GACTTTGATCTGAATAGTAATGCAGGTTGAGTATCCCTTACTCAAAATACTTGGGACTAAAAGTATTTTAGATTTTGAATTTTTTTGGATTTTGAAATATTCTTGGGGATGGAACCCAAGTCTAAACACAAAATTCATTTATGTTTCACGTATACACCTTATACACGCAGCCTGAATGTAATTTTATATAATATTTTAAATAATTTTGTTCATGAAATAAAGTTTATGTTAAGAACTTCTGTGTGGAATTTTTCACTTGCAGCATCATGTTACAGGTGCTCAAAATTTTTTGGATTTTAGAGCATTTACGATTTTACATTTTCAGATTAGGGACAGTCAACCTGTAATAGCTAACGCATTAAATGCTGATTATTAAATATTTCATGTGGATTATCTCATTTAATCCTCACAATGACTGCTTAAGTTAGGTTCTGTTCTTGAGTCGTCCCTCCTTGTCTCCGGTTTTGCTTTCTGCAGTTTCAGTTACCTGTGGTCAACCATGATCTGGAAGTAGTAAACAAAAAATTCCACCATTTATTAGTTTTAAATTGAGAGCCATTCTGAGGAGCGTGATGAAATCTCACGCCACCCTGCTCCATCCTGCCTGGGACGTGAATCTTCCCTTTGTCCATTGTCTCTAAGCTTTCTATGCCACCTGCCCCTTGGTCACTTAGTAGTCCTCTTGGTCGCCCTCTTGGTTATCAGATCACCTGTCATGGTGTCACAGTGCTTGTGTTCAAGTCACCCTTATTTTACTCAATTGTTCTATTTTACTAGTCGTTAATCTCTTACTGTGCCTAATTTCTAATTAAAAAAATTTTTTTAGAGATAGTGTCTCGCTCTGTCACCTAGGCTGGAATGCAGTGGCTTGATTATAGCTCACTGTAACCTTGAACTCCTGGGCTCAAGCGATCCTCCTGCCTCAGCCTCCTGAGTAGTTAGGACTACAGGTGTGTATCACCAACCCCACATAATTAAAAAAATTTTTATTTAGAGATGGGGTCTCACTATGTTGCCCAGGCTGGTCTTGAACTCCTGGCCTCAAACAGTCCTTCCACACTGGCCTCTCAAAGTGCTGAGATTACAGGTGTGAGCTACTGCTAATTTATAAACCAAACTTGATCATAGGTATGTATGTATAGGAAAAAACATAGTATATATAAAGTTTAGTGCTATCCATGGTTTCAGGCATCCACTTGGAATGCGTCTCTCATGGATAAGGGACTGTATCTCCCATGGACTATTATATTTCCTGTTATAGTGGTGAGGAAACTTACTTGGGTTGAATAACTTGCCTAAGTGGGGCATCAGGCAGTTGGCTAGGGAGGCCCACACTAGGAACTGCAATACCACTCTTCACACCGATAGGTGATGTAGAATCCAGACTAATGTTTCGGAGTGGTAAGAGGAAAAAAGGATAAGGTCCCTCTGCATGGTGCACGGAAGCTTCTTAGACTTGGGGGATATTTGAGTTGGGCCTTGAAGGATGGGTAGGAGCCTACCTTTCCCCACACCCACTTAGTATACAGTATAGTGAAGAGGAACACAGTCTCCTGGACAGCTGTGGGTTCACATCCCAGCTCCACCATCTTTCCAGCAGAACGACTTGTGGTAAGTTGTCCTCTGACCATTAGTTTCCTAATTCGTAAAATGGGAACAATGAAAACTATGCCTTGAAACACCAAAAAGAATAAATATGATTGGATATGAAAGCACCCAGTTAGGTTCCTGGCACGCAGCACCGGAGCTCAGTGACTGGTCGAGAACGTGGACAGATGGGTATAATACCAATAGCTAGTGCCTACAGAGTGCTTAACATTCCAAGCACTTAACATCGATGAACTTATCAATGATCCTATTAGATAGGTACTCATTTTAGACCCATTTTACAGATGAGAAACTAAAGCACAGAAAGGTTAAATAAGTTACCCTGAGCTAGTAAAATGACAGAGGCAGGATTGGAACCCATGCAGTCTGGTCCCAGAGTCCATGTGTGCAGCACCTCACTCGACCACTGAAATCGCAGAAAGTGGGGCTGAGACAGGCAGCAAGCAGCACCACTGAGTCAGAGGCAGGACGAGGGAAGTAAGTCCTCAGGGGAGGCTTGCTGGAGGGGCCCTCTTGTCCTTTGGAAAACGTGACACCTTGTGAAGTGACAATCACCAGCACAAACCACCTGAGAAGCTTCTGGTTTCTCAGACTGGGAGAACAGGATGGTGTACAGGGTAAGCCAGGGATATATGAAACCATAACGCAAACAAGTCGTGGTCATTCACTCCATAAGTTTTTTCTGTGTACTATGAGCTGTTCTATGAGCCTGGAATATAGCCATGAACAAAACCAAACTAAAATCCCTGCCCTCCTGTATTTTATGTTCTATTCAGGGAGGTGGGGAGACAGACGATCAGCAGATAATACGCAGATATATATAAGAGGATGGGCCAAGTGTTATGGAGAGAAAGTGGAGGGAAGAGTGGGAAACACCTTGTGATGTTGCATAGGATGGTATGTGGGGCGTGATCTCTGAGAAGGTGACATTTGAGCAAAGACCTGAAGGAGGCAAGGGAGTGGAAGTTTCAGGAATTCTGGGGGTAATACGTTCCAGAGAGGGAGAAGAGCAAGTGCAAAGGCCCTGAGGCAAGAGTGTGCTTGGCAGATTCAAAGAATAGCAAGGAGGCTGGTGTGGCTGGGGTGGAGAGCAAAGGGGAGAGCAGCAGGAGATGAGGTCAGAGGGGTGTGTGCTGGAGAAGGGCACATCTCCACCCATCTTCAAGATTTCTCTCTGTGTTATAAAAACAAACATGAGGAAAGAATGCAAAATAGGCATGCATTTCTAAGCGTTTATGGAACCTCCCCTGCACAGACATCATCTTTCCCTTTCTCCCTCTCCCCAGTCTGGCTCTGCCTATCCCTGTGAGCCTCCAGGGCGTGGAAATTGGCAGACCATAGGTGTGACTGTGACCAGGTTTCTGGGTCGAGCCTCTGCCTGGGGTCTTACTGCCTGGGGTCAGGAGGAGTCTCTGAAATCATCACCATCTCAGGGCTCTGTGGAGGAGAATGCCACTGGCTTCCTCCAGGCTAAGATGTGTGTTTAGTCAATCCTAAAGAACCTAAAGAATCCTAAAGAACCTGCTCCTCCTTCCAGGCCTGGGTCATCTCCACACTCTGGTGCTCAGGTTCAGGTGGGGTCTGCACCAGACACTCACCGCAGGGAATATTTGCTGACCCAAACTGAATGTGATAAACTCTCAGGTACTTTGAGGTTCTGCTGGATGGGTTTTTGGCTTGAATTGGCATTGAACTGGTTCATCATTTTGGTTCCATTTCAGGTAGGGGGGGAGGGGAAGGCTAGAAGGAAACTTTGGTTCAGTTCATGCTTCTGTGAAAAATTAACACTGGGTGCAGTTCAGAGTCCAGTTAGTCATTTCAGTTGTTTTTGTTCAAGTCTCCATCTAAGGGGGAGCCTCCTAGCATGTGTTCCTTTTCAATAAACCAGCTAGGCATAGAGAGAGTTGAATATAATGCCATTCTAGCCTGTAGGGGTGGCAGGGGCAGAATAAGTCCCAGTGCAGATAACAGTCACACTAACAAAGCAGGACAAGCCCCAGTAATTAGGGCCACCCCCTTCTGGGTAATGAAACTGAGGATTAGGGATTTTAAGGACATTGCAGTGTCAGGATTTGAACTTAAACAAGCCTACTCCAGAGCACGTGTTTCTAACCACTGGGGCATGCGGTCTCTTTAACAGAGCCCCTACAAGAAAACCTGAGCAACTTGCTTTGGGCTGGCAGAGGAAGAAGTTGCAGGTTTCACTGTATTGTCATGCATACATTCAATATATTCAAACATTCTGATTTGGGCTATGCACTAAGGATGTGGAGATAAACCTCCCATGTCTAGACCGCTTGGAACTCACTATTCAACCTAACCTGGAAAGTGTGGAGGAGTAGCTGTGAGTAAAGTGTTACTGAAAGACAAAAGAGGGCACAAGTAACTGTTTCCAGAGGAGGTGAAATCTGCCCCAGGCATTCAACAACAGCAAAGCAGGAACAGGTGCTTTCCAAGTGCCTAGCCAAGGAATTATAGCGCCTGCGCTTGGGGGCTTAAAATCTAGTGCAGTTTATCTGGTTTCAGAATCACCTACTTCAGAATTCTGCTGGTGCTTGTTAAAACGGGGATTCTGGGAATTCAGAGACATCTGGGAATTGCATAAAGCAGGACTGCATGTGGCAAACAGGTGATTCTAATGCACACTCAATTTTGTCAGGTGAGAGGGGGAAAGTAATCGGTCCAGGTAGGGGGAACAACATGTATAATGGCTTGGGAGTCCTTAGTAGCCTTCGGGCGCTAGGGTTGCAGTTCAAGACTGTAAGCTCTGGGAGGAGAAGGATCTTGTCAAATTGTTTATCGCCCAGGTCCTAACTCAAAGTCTGGACCACAGTAGGGCCTTATAAATATTTGTGAATATGCTGGCTCCCAAGATTGAAAAGACCTGGAGAGTCAAAAGGAAAAACGAAGTCGGTGGCAGAAGAGAAAGGTATTCCTAAAGTGATGAAAACTTTCTGGGAAGTTGTCCTGGAAAAAGCAGCTCCGCGTAACACAGGGAGTGGGGAGGTGGCCGCTGCGGGAAAGGGCGATGAGTCCTGGGGGATCCAGCCGGGGAGGAGGCAGGAGGCGCCTCTTTGCCTCCCCAGGCCGGCCGAGGCATGAGGTCACCTGGCACAGTACCAGCAGCAGCTGCGGAGGACGCGCCGGCGCTGCAGAGGGAGGCAGTGTCAGGCTCGGGCCCCCGGGGAATTTCCCTCCGCCCCCTCGGGAGGCGTGCCTAGGAGCCCTGCCCACCGCCCTCCCGAGCCTGAGCTTTGTACCTCCCCACCAAGGCCACGCCCCGGAGACTAGGCCCCGCCCCTCCAGCTGCTTTGAGACGCCGCAGTGGTCCCTCCGCCGGCGCCGGAGCGGTTGCTCCGCCTTCTCCGCCCTAGGCCACGCCCCCGAGCTCCGGCCACCCCATTCCCCCTGGAGAGTCCCGAGACGCCGAACCTTGGCTCCGCCCACGGTCCGAGGCCCCGCCCCCGGAGCCCCGCCCAGCGGTTTGAAGCGGCACGGGATGCGACCGCCTCAGAGTCGCGCGCGGGGCGTGGGGCAGTGCTGAGGAGTCTCGGTGGCTGCAGCTCGACGCCGGACAGTCCAGCGAGCGCAGCGCGGCGGGAGCCCGCAGCCAGAGCAGCCCCAGAGCAGAAGCAGCAGTCGCCGCCGTCCGCGGAGCCCAGCCAAGCCGGCCATGGCGTTGTCGATGCCGCTGAACGGGCTGAAGGAGGAGGACAAAGAGCCCCTCATCGAGCTCTTCGTCAAGGTGAGCGCTCGCCGCGCGGTCCCACCCGGCCGAGCCCCCGGCGCCCGCCCGGCTGCGGGGGGCGGTGTCCCGGGGCTTCCCCGAAGCGCCCCCGCGCGGCGCCGGCGCCCGCACCCGGGTGTGAGGGGAGCGCTGCGGGCTCCAGCGCCCCCAGCCCATTGTCTCGGGGCCACCCGCGCCTTCCCGCCTCCGAGGGCCCGTCGAGGGGGACGGGGTGGAGACCCTGGCCTCAGAGAAGCCCCAGAACGGGGCGGCGGTAACCGTCCCCGCGGCGGTTCCGGCGTGCGGGTGGTCCGGAGAGCCCGCGGGGTGGGACGAGCCTGCGGCCAGGAGCCCCGGGCGCGCGAGAGTCCTGTCGCCCACCCCCACCCCGGCGCCCGGCCCCACCCCTCAGCCCGCGGGGCCACCCCAGCCTGGGAGCCTCGAGCCAGTCGTCAGATGGTAAACCCAACTTCTTTGAACGCTTTTCGAAAGAGCATTTGCTCCCCTCAGTATGAAACTGAAACTTCAATGTTTGATGCAATCTTAAAAAATTTCCAAAAGAGCAGACGCTCCTGGACGATGGGAAAAGACCGAGATTCCCAACTTGAGTTTTTCCGTCTTAGGTATTTACCACCATCTGGTTTTCTTTCTCAAGCGCGGAGTGTTTTGTATGATGCAACATTTTGGCTTCTCCCCTCGGTGTTGCTGCCTCGGGAAAGACCGTGTGTGCCCTTTTGTTTTGAAAGGAATTGATCGGAGAAAGAATTCATAACTTGCTTGGGTTTTAAAGGGTTGATTTTTCCCTTGTCTCTTTAGCTTTTATGTCCTGGAACTACCTTATTTGCTTGCAAATACTACCCCTAACCTTTTCCTTTTTTCTTTAACATTTTTCAGTTTAGCAAGGGAGAGCGAGTAGAAGTTAAAAACATCTGGATCCAGCTACTTCCCTCAAAACTTATTTAAAATCTTTGAGATTCTCTCAGCCACTTTACTTAAAAAGCCAGACTCATTCAGAGCTAGGCAACTTACTGGAAACTTAACAGGAATGTAGAACTATTTTGTTCCTTTTTTTCCCACTGAGTTTTTATTCTAAAGAAGGGAAGACATTGAAGGGTGTGTTTAAGAGTCGAAGAGAAGAAATTATCAGCAAATGATTAAACAATGTTTGTTTTAGGATTTTCTTTCAATTATCGGTTTTAGAAACATTTCGGTTCAGGAAACTGAAACAGCAGACAGGTATAGAACACCCAGAATATCAAAGTGTCTTCAGTTGCTTTGGGTGGCAGATATGATATAGTACTTTGAGGTACAGAGAATGTAGGAAGGAACCTGAAATAAGAAAGCAAAAGAGGAGGGGGGGGAGCGGGTGGAAAACAGTATGGAGAAGGGAAAAGGGTGGGTCAGAAATCAGAAAAATAATTTTTTTTTTTTTTTTGAGACAGAGACTCACTTTGTTGCCCAGGCTAGAGTGAGTGCCGTGATGTCAGCCTACCTCACAGCAACCTTAAACTCCTGGGCTTGAGCAATCCTCCTGCCTCAGCCTCCCAAGTAGCTGGGACTATAGGCATGCGCCACCATCCCTAGCTAATTTTTTTCTATATATAGATTAGTTGGCCAATTAATTTCTTTATAGTAGTGACAGGGTCTCTCTTGCTCAGGCTGGTTTTGAACTCCTGACCTCGAGTGATCCACCCGCTTGGGCCTCCCAGAGTGCTAGGATTACAGGCATGAGCCACTGCTCCTGGCCAAAATAATTTTACTGAGCTAGGAATAAGAAGGAATTTCCATAACCTTAAAAAATATATCCACTAATCTAAAAAACATAATACTTTAATGGTGAAACTTTAGAAGCAGTATTAAACTTAGCATCAGATAAGATACTATCAGTTTGGCTTCTAGTCAGCATTGTATCAGAGGACCTAAGCAATACAGTAAGACAAGAAAAATGAAGTATAAGAATTAAAAAGGAAGTGATCAAGGCTTAGTGCCCTGCTTGCTATTAATTTAATCTTTCAATTAGAAGAAGAGGAGTGTGGTGCACTATTTCCTAAAGTTGGGTCACTTGCATACTCCTTTCTAGTTTTCCGTATTGTAAACCACTTGAAATCATCCTCCTTACCACTGGTTATAAGCCTTTCTCACTGGGCTTGGCAGCAGAGAGCCAGGGTTCAAGTCACAGTGTGTACCCAGGCTGGGTTACCTTGGGCAATTTGTTTTCCCTCTTTAAATACTATTTTCCTCATTTGTGAAATGAGAGGTGAAACGTTTTCGCCCTGTGATTCAACATTTGTGCTGATATAGATCAGGTTATTGTTTGAAAGGAAAAACAGGGACTGATAAAATGGTAATGGATATTCTTGATTTCTTTTTAAAACTTATGTGTGGGAAATGCAAATGGGGGAAAATACCCTTGTAAATATAGTTATTTTGAAAGCAGTGAGGGGGCAGAGGCTGTGGTTGTCCAGAGTGATGTGTTAAACACTGTTAATTATTCTGCCAAGAAGTATCTGAGTTTGTAGCAGAAAACTATTTATACTTGCACATAGCATGTATAGAAATTTATAATTTGGTGGTGGTTCTAGGGGACATACAGAGCGGTGTAATGGGGTATTGAGTCTACCTGTCAAGGACTGAGCTTTATTTATTTATTTATATATTTTTTGAGACAGAGTCTCACTCTGTTACCCCGGCTAGATTGCGGTGGTGTTAGCCTGGCTCACAGCAACCTCAAACTCCTGGGCTCAAGCAATCTTTCTGTCTCAGCCTCCCGAGTAGCTGGGACTACAGGCTTGCACCACCATGCCCAGCTAATTTTTTCTATATATTTTTAGTTGGCCAATTAATTTCTTTATTTTTAGTAGAGAGAGGTCTCGCTCTTGCTCAGGCTGGTTTCGAACTCCTGCCCTTGAGTGATCCTTCCACCTCGAAAGGACTGAGCTTTAAATTGAAGAGAAATAGACTAGGAATTTCTCAAATAGTGTTATTGGACTCACCGTTACATTTCCTTTCTTGTGAGTATTGTTTTTGGATTTGTCTGCCCCTGAGCCTAGTGACTCCATCATCTGTCTAACAGCAGTTCCCCATTGTTGCTTTTTTTTTTTTTTTATCTCAATTATCTAGAGGATAGGATACCCTCCCAGTAGTGAAAAAGGTTTACAATGGCAGACAACAGTGGAGATGCTTTCTTCCCCACACTGAGGGGCCTGGTGGGTGTATATATTTCCAGTTTGGAGCCACCAACCAATAGGGTAAAGTTCAGACCCTTTATCAAGGGCATATAAGGTCCCTTATAATCTGACCACTGCCTGGATTTCTTATCCAGTTTGTCCATTTACTAGCTGTGTGTCCCAAGACACATTATTTAAACTTCTCTGTGCCACATCTGTGCAGTTGGGATATTAATAGACTAACTTTATGGGAATAAATTCATTGAAACTGTAGTATGCACTAATCTTAGAAAAGTCTCTAGTACACAGTAAACAAATAAATGCTAGTTGCATTTCATTTTGTATGTAAACATTTATGTGCAGATTTCCCCTGGATCTATTTATTGTTCAGTGGACCTGCAACTTAAGAGGGTACCAAATGTTTGAAATGAGATTTCAGAGCATTTTATTGTCAAGGAATATGTCTACCATGCTTTGGAATTGCACACCACTTACTGAGATCCTGATGGTTTGAGTGTCAAACCTTGGTGCTTCATTCTGTTTTCTCTAGCCTCCAGATTCCAAAACCTCATGCGATTTTATCTACTCACCTCTTTTTTTCTCCATTATTTAATTTTTTTTTTTTTTTTTTGAGACAGTCTCACTCTGTTGCCTGGGCTAGAGTGCTGTGGCGTTAGCCTAGCTCACAGCAACCTCAAACTCCTGGGCTTAAGTGATCCTTCTGCCTCAGCCTCCGGAGTAGCTGGGACTACAGGCATGCGGCACCATGCCAGGCTAATTTTTTCTATATATTTTTTAGTTGGCCAATTAATTTCTTTCTATTTTTAGTAGAGACGGGGTCTCCCTCTTGCCCAGGCTGGTTTTGAACTTCTGATCTTGAGCGATTTGCCTGCCTCAGTCCCCCAGAGAGCTTGAATTACAGGCGTGAGCCACCTCGCCTGGCCTTCTCCATAATTTAATACTTATAATTTTTTTATGTATCTACCATATTTTCCACCACTGTTTTTTCTTGGCTATGTTTAGAATTTGGGGAACTAGTTTGAGTTCTGTTTGAGTAAAACTAAATATTAGCTTTTGAACCACAAAATGAGGGAATTTGAGAAGAGACTGGAGTTTTAGATTTTTCTTTTGCTTGTATAAGCCCAGCTCCTATTGACTTTCCCTCCCTCGCCTGCCGTCTAGGTCACTTTGATGTGATGGTGGTATTTCTGATCTCAGTTTAGGAAGTAATTCCTTCTTAGAGTTTCATTTTATGGACCGGAATATAAACTTGTTGGTGTACCATTATGAATTGGGACAATTCATGATTTTTAATAAAGTTTTAAAAACGAACTTTGGTTTTTGTTAATACATACATTTTCCTACCCTTTCAGTCTCTCTACACTTTCCTATTTTTCAGATTGCTGTCTTTTCAACAATTTCCTGGTGGCACACTGTCGGCAAATAGTCATTAACCTGCTGGGATTAGAGCCTTGGTAGTAAAAAGTTAATCTGGTGCAGGGTGGCATAACACATAAGAATAACTGTTTCTTTTGAGATATTTGGCAGTGGTTTCTTTCTTTCTTTCTTTTTTTTCTTTCTTTCTGACAGAGTCTCACTCTTGCCCTGGCTAGAGTGCTGTGGGGTCAGCCTAGTTCACAGCAACCTCAAACTCCTGGGCTCAGGCGATCCTTCTGCCTCAGCCTCCCAAGTAGCCGGGACTACAGGCACACGCCACCATGCCCGGCTAATGTTTTCTATATATTTTTAGTTGGCCAATTAATTTCTTTCTATTTTTAGTAGAGACTGGGTCTCGCTCTTGCTCAGGCTGGTTTCGAACTCCTGACCTTGAGCGATCCACCCGCTTCAGCC